TCGTATCGTTTCTTTTTTTTTTCTTTCTTCTTTCTTCGCCGCTACATACGTGTATGTATGTATATGTAAATATATTCTACACCGTAATACCCATAGTTGCAGTCAATAATTCAAGTACCGGTTTGCTAAGCATTTCGTGTTCATAGTAATTAATCATAATCCTAGTTTTCCGTTATAATATCAAAATATTCGCGCACACAAGGATGCGTACACCTATATATATATATATATAAGTATATATATGATGATCGGTGATACACATGTTATAATTTGTGTGGTATTTTTTTTTTACTTCATTTTTAAGTTCAATAAACTTAAGATTCGTTAATGCAAACAAACAAACACATTTTAAGTAAAAAAACCAAACCGTTCTTTACACAGATATAATTTTTACGAATTGGCTTTTTCTCAATTGATACATGTTTTTTTTTAAACCTATAATTAAATTCGATTTACTATCCATAAATAAAAAACACATTATTCATAATGTAAATATTATATACAGGATTTGATACACAAACACACACACACACACAGGCACGCGTACACGTACAAGTAAATACACGCACATACACGCACTTATAGTGTAGCTATACAACAGTTTATACCATATGTAAGCTTACGCTGAGATTTGAATGCTGGTTTATCCATCTATAGCCATATTTTATCTATGTATATATTAAGCATGCGTTTAATAAACAATAATATAATGTAATGACGTGCAAATAGATCCCATCACAGGTGTCGATGAACTTCCCGAAGGAATCGCAACGGAAAAAGTGCTGATATGATAAACGATAATTTCAGATCCACTGCCTAAACTGCGGTGAAAACGTAGTAACACAAACGTTTTGTCCTCTCGTAGCATTCGACGAGATTCGGATTAGATTAGAATCGGTTCGTCTGCATCGGAACATTTCATACGGGAATGTTATATTGATTTCACGTGACGTACGCCAAGGGTTTTTTTAACGTTCCGCGCAATTTTCACCGGACATTTAGGTACGCAGCGAAACTTTCCTAGGTACACGCGACTGAACCGGTTCGAAGCGAAAAGCAGTCGAGGCCGACCGATTTTCCGGGTCCCTTGCGCGAACGACCGCGAGACCGGAAACCCGCGCAACAACGCAACGCGCACATCAGTCATCCGACGGATCCCGAGGAAAGTTTCGCTGTTGGGTGAATCGGCGACCGTGGTAGAGCACGAGAAACGCGAAACGGACGGACGGGCGACCGGCGAATTTCAACGCGTCGCATCGCGGCCCTCGGAAACAAGATCAAGGACGGGCGGCCGTACGGGAACGCGCAATGCGACGGGAATTAGGATCCGGCAAAGATAGCATCTGATGTACGTCTGCGGGCGATCGGCAAAACGTGTACGGCACGGACGACTCGGTCATCGCGAGTCCATCGCGCACGTACACGCATACGTGCGCACACGAACCGGCTAACGTGCCACGACGCCGCGCAAATACTTTATTTCTTTTTTTTTTTTTTTTATGGGACAGTAACGATAATGATAATAGTCGCAATATGTCATTCAGATGTTTCCTTTTTCGCAGTTATAGTCGTAGTATATATGTGTGTATGTGTACTACTGCTGCGGCTGAAGTGCTATGCTGTTTTTAGACGCTTTCTAAGTCGACCGATTTTTGCACGTCATCATTATTAGAATATATAATACGATGTTACGGTAATACGGCACGAGCACGCCGTACAAACACACTCGCGCGCGTACATACAACGGGCGGGTCACGTGATATCTAATTTATCAGGAACGAAAAAAAAAAATAAATAAATAAATAACAATCGCGGAGGCGTACGCGCGATGTACACGGTGTACAGCCGAGCCCTAATCTTTCACACCTTCTCAGCCGCAGATAATTCCGCTCTTCGCCGGTTATGATCCGATGCTGTGCACGCCTTTTGCGTTTACGATCTCAAATTCGTTGCGAACGTTTCGTCCTAAGACCCGCTCGCGCAGTCCATCCTCGCGTTTTATCATCGCCCTACATCGTGAATCGAGTCGAAATAACGCTCGTACAGAACGTATATCGGAAATAGCGAAACGACTCGCGTGAAACGTAGCACACGGATGAGATATTAAACGAAGATATTTTTTACTTTTTTCAATCTGATATTTTACAGTTCAACCGTTCGCTTACAGGTTTAAAAACAAATAAACATACCTAACGCGAAGAGTAAAATTTTTTTTGACATTCATGTGTCATCATAAGTAACACGATACGGCTGTTATAACGTACTGTTATTTTTTTAATTTTATATAGATAGTTTAATGTAGTAGTATATAAAATATATCGTACCGAATTCCTCACGTGGGACTCTTACTTCTTAGACAAGAAGAAACATCAAATTACTCTCGTTCGATTTCCCTTTACAAATAAATATTTATCGATTTTAATACGTTATCACTCGTAAAATGAAATTTTGAAATTTTTTATACCATGACAGTTTTTATTTGAAAAATTATAAGATGAAAGGTTTAGATTTAAAAATGTGTTTCTAATTAATGAGTACGTATTTAAATAAAAATATATGTATCTAAGAATAAATTAATGGATACAAGTTTAGTTAAACTATAATAAAAATAATATTATGGATAATTTTCAGTATCTCCCAAAGTACTTTACAATTTATTAAAGTAAATATAAATCAATTTATGTTTATATACGAAATATAAACTATAGATATCGAACTAATTTAGTCTTAAAGGTAACTTTTAAACGAATATTTTGAACATAATAAATACCAAAAAAATACCTAAAATACCTTTTTAACAACTGATTTGATATTTTTACATTATTTTTATTTACAACAATATTTGTTGTTTTATAAATATTAATTTCAAATATTAACTTTTATTTTACTAAATATTACCATAATTATTTATTAATATAATGCCCCAGTATAAGTATTCCAATTTTTACGGTAGGCTCCGATGTGATTTCATTGAAAATATGAATAGACGAAAAATGTATGTACAGTTATTATTTTCACATGTCAATAGCTAAACTTAGAGATTTTTGTATAGAATGTACCTAATTATTATTATACTTTCAAGCTATAAGTATTTAAAATGATTTATTCAACTTATAATATGATATTTATTTCTAAAAAAATAATTAAAGACGTTTTCTAAAAAATTGTGTTGTATAATTATCATTAAATATTAGTTATAAAAAATGGAAATTATATAAGTATTTGGTATATTGATAAAAAAAAAATGCATTACAAATCATAGTATACATATGTAAACATTATTATACATTTAACACACGAATTTCAATGACATTTTCGATTAAATACCAATGTTTATTAGACATTAATTTATACAAATTACAATTATTGAATTAAAAATGAGGACACTTCACTTCATGAATAAACTAATTTATTTGCAAATTGTATAAAACATATAAATTTATTGTTTGTAATAAAGACTCTATCTAAACCAAATTAAATTTTTTTAACATGCATTTGTTCTTATACATCATACTAACATCAAAGCAATATTAATTATTGTAAGTAATTATTATTAAAAAAATTGTATTTAATATTAAGATATAAATAGAAATAATCAGATTAAAATAATATTATTTATCTATTATAACATTAATTTTTTTATACGATACATAATACATCGTATATAGTTGAATAATTTTTTTAGAATAGATTTTAATTTTGGTTTGTCGTTGGTATCTATAAAAAAAAAATATGGCTCACAATCACAATGTATTATGAAGCTTGTTTTTTACTATTATAAACTAACATAAATTTAAATTTATTGAAATAAAATATTATGTGTTGAATTAATTATAGTTATATAATGTTAACGTATCAAAATAACTGAAAAAATAAAATATAATTAATAAAATATTAAAAGGTATTTTAATATTAAAGCGGAATTTTATGATTATGCGTGTACAAGAATAAGTGTTTCCTAATTAACGAATATTTATTAAATTAAAAATACATTTGAATTAAGTTTATTTTAATACAATCGAAGAATTTAAATTAAGTTATGAAGTCGGATTATGCTGTACATATAAAGTAAAAAATAATATGTGATTAGATATTTGTGAAAAATGCGAAATTTCATACGGTTCTTTTTATCCTAAGAACGCCAACAACGATTATCTATTATTTATTTTCTATCTAGTTTGATTTTATTGCTACATCGCGATAAAATCTACGCAGTACGAAAATTAAAATATTTTAATTATATTTTGTTTTTACATAAATCGCTTGTTTAATTTTCCAAAAATCGAACACGGTAACGCGAAAATATTAAATGTGATACGAATAATAGATGCGACTGGGATAAAACGGAGTACACGCGCCATCCAAACATTAGTTGGAGTGCGTTAAAAGGGTATGCTTATGGAGGGTAACAGGGGATGTAGTATAACAAAACTCATCGAGAGTGTATGACGTCAATAAACACATAACCCACCTACCTCTATGCGTATAAACCGAACAGTAATAAAAATAATAAAACAATAACAATACCCTTTCGGCGTGAAATTAAATACAATATTAAGCGACTGAAAAGATTATTTTTTCGCGAAAATGTCGTTACCGAGACGTGATCTGTGCATGATCCAAAGGTGAATCCAAAGGCACTATTTCCTTTAATGTCCGGGTGAATAGTTTGACTAAAAGTCTGTCAGCCAAAGCAGTAGACTATGGAACTTTTGAGTTGATTAGGAATCCCAAAGGAAAAACGTGAAACAATAGCATTTTATTCAAGTGTCCGGCACCAACGGATCGTCGTCCACGTCCGTTTTGCGCGATACCGCGGCCAGAGTTATTGTAATATATATATATATATATATATACACACAAACGGTTGCTCTCGAGACGAAAGGGTGTTTGGTGCGGCGAAGAAGAAGAATAAAGGAAAAAAACGGGGGGGGGGGAATAAAAAACTAAACAGTAAATTAAATGGTCTTATTTGTTATTTTTTATTTTTTGTTTCTTACCAGTCACCGTGCTCCAATTTTCGTATTCAATCGGAAGGAATCGCACACCTCGGCGCGACCACACCGCTGTAACGTGTTGATATTTTAAGAGGATCCGCGATCTGTACAACAACGATTGTGCGGCGGCGGTGGATTTCACGTGATTTTGTACATTTTTCGTTTTCTTTTGTTTCTCTTTTTTTTCTTTCGTTCCGTCGCTATTCCCGCGAATCGTCGCCGATACGGTTTTGTTTTGTTTTCATGCGACGAGATCAAAAGCGCGGCGGAGGACGCGGTCGCGCAGCGAAACAATGTTTTCGATTCGTCGTCGGGAGCGCACTTATCGCGGACCGTGTGCCGCGCGTTCGGCGTGCGGTAAGAGAATGACCACCGGTGGACCGGGCGACGCGCGCCTGGGCTCGCGTGTCGAGAGTCGTGAAAGCGGAAGAGTAGGAAACGCGCGCGCCGGTGAGAGAGAGAGAGAGAGAGAGAGAGAGAGAGAGAGGAGAAAAATCGGGTGAAAACCGCGGGAAAAACGACGGCCGAGCGCGGGCGAATAGGCGACGAGGGTGCGAGCCCACCGGCCGTTGGATGCGTGCGGCGAAGAAAAACGAAAACGGTACGCGGTTTTCCCGGGGCGGTCGGACGGCGCGCGCAGACACCGATACTTGACGGACGGACGGACGGAGCACCGCACGCGCGATTCGTGCCTTGAACTCTCCGTAATGGGAAACCTTGAACTGAACAGCGCCGCCGAGCGTGGAACCGGTGCGCGATCGCGATTGCCCTACTGACTCAGTCAGGACGAAATCCGAACGGAATGCGCGGCGGCGAGCGGTGCGGTCCGCCGCCGCCGCCGCCGCCTCCACGTTGAGGAGGGGACGGCCGGACTGGTGGCGGTGGGAGGACGTAGGAATTCTTCCTTCCCTTCTTCCACCACCCCCTCACACCGCCGTGCCGTCCGTCCGAACGTCGCAGACCGCGATCTGCTCCGACGGTGTTTTCTCCGTCGTCGGCGGACGCACACCGGTCGCGTATACAGAGCGGTTCCGAGAGCGTTTTTGGTGCTTGTAATTTTTTTTCGCCTTCTCTCGAAATCAAAAATTTGTTCGTTTTTCTCCCGCCACTCGGTCGCGCTCGCATGACAATAATATCCATCAATGTACATGTTTTACCCACGGGATTGACCGAAAAGAACAATATGCTTCGGTCGTACACCTATAGCCGAGAGAATCTCGCACACATTCATTTATGGTACAGTGTGATCCGTCGTTGTACGAATAGACCGCGGGATCACGGAGAGTTGTAGGTTTTTCCGTTTTAACGTATTTTCGAAGAGTTTATACTTCCGGTAACAGGTTGTTAAGTTTTAAAAACCAAGCGCACCTAATACCGAGTAAAAAAAAAAAATCGTATCATTGTGGTTGAATAATATTTCAGTGAGAATCAAATTGACGTTCAATGACAACCTCGATGAAACGATGAAGTACGCATACACTTGAAAAGCGCATGATCAATTTTCGAAGGTGTTCAGTACTCTCTAAATATTTTAATATATTATAGACTTATTACGAAAATGTACAAGCTATAGAATTAATACTTAATATTTAATTATAAATTATTATATATTTAAATGTACGGAAAAACATTGGTTAATATTATAATAATTGATTTTATTACATTGTTAAGCTCTGGGAAAGGCGAAGCTTATCACTGTACGATGGTTACAAAATTGTAACATTTTTTAGTCACAAATAATATAATTAAGTGACGATAGGAAAGGTATATCTAATTTAAACATGCTTTTCGTCAGAAAAATTCTATGTACAAATGATAATGACAAAAATATTATATCACGTTTCAATATTCAAATGTACCATCATTACTTACAACGTACATTTATGATTTTAATGTTATGTTCATATCTAAATAATCCAGCAGGCATAATCACTTATGATTACTAGCTCTGATAGATCGAAGATTTGAAGGATAAATAAAATAAGTGTAAGAAATGTTTCTACTAGGAAAATAATTTTTTTATATAATGATAAAAAAATTATAACCGCTTTATTTAATTAATAATAAACGTGGTTAAGTAGATTAAAAAAAAAAAGAAAAAGAACCTCTTATGAATGATCATCTTTGATTAATAATATTTAACAATTACAGTTCTCCTATCTCTCCGTAAATTCAGTCACCCTGTATGCATACACGGGGAGAGCTACATAAACGCGTCTCGCACACCTATTTATACACAAACTCTGTAACGGTAACTACCTGTTTAATTATAATATTTATATATCAACCACTGCATTAATGTGTTGACCATTAATTGTATATTATATAATGAATGATAGGCGACTAACTAAAAAACCTCTTCCCGACATTAACCAAATTGATATTGAGGCAGGAGATCACATATATTTTAAACATTTTTCTTTATTTATTTATTTATTTTTAAAATAAATGCATTGTTATACATAATTTTTGTTCTCATATTTTGATTTGTAAAGCAAACTTTATAAAAATCTAGCTATTAAATCAATTTATTAGAAAAATATTTTATAGAAGACTGATAATACTTAATTCAATAAAATAGTTGGATTATAATTTTTAATTTTCTATAAAAATATACTTTATTGATACCTACATCATTAATTAATATAATCTTTCAATAAAAAGCTTTTTTTTCTTTCGTAACATGAAAATTTTAGAACATTTAAGAAGAGCAAAAATAAATCTAACATATAAATACAAGATAATAACTTCATAAGTTACACTTATATGTTCATATGTTAAACTAGATCAAAATTGTGTACTGCTATAAATGACTACTATAATAACTAGGTACGGACTTATAAATGTCATAAAATATCTAAATCTAATTATTAGTACCACATAATGTGTATGGTTATAAGTAAATTGTAAATTATATTATATTTATAAAATGATTTATATTAATTTTTACCTTGGTAATATTGAAAATGTACGTTATTTTTTAAATTATATAAATTATGTAGTTTTTAATCAAAGCTCTTTATTTTTTAAAATATTTTACACATTGTGTGAATAAATTTTTTTATAGGAATAGCTTAAATCAATATTTTAAATTTGCCTTTATAAAAACTCCTGCCATTACTCATAAAGACAAATTTTACGTGTACCGTTAAGTTAAATTTAATCTAAATGCTTTTGGACTTTCCAATTCATAAAATCAATTTAACAGCTAAAATGTATAATATTTAAAATAATATATGTTAAATAATATATGTATAATAATGTGAAAATATACAACGATAATTATATGTTTCATTTATTCAAATAATATTTCGAATGTCTCTATGAAATAAACCAAATTTATTTAACTAAATTAAATTATTATTACAAATATTTTGGACTCTACTAATTGTATTTATCTAGATAACAATGATTTTTTTTTCTATAAATCACGTTTTAATAAACTCAATAATTTAAGTAATTAACTTGATACCAACGAAATTTCTGCTATTTTAATTTTTTTTTTTTAAATGAATAGGTTCTTGTATTATATCCAATACCTTATTATTCATTTAAAAATTATAACAAATCTAATTATTTCCAGATAAGTTAATATTTTTAAAAAAAATAAAAACCTAGGTGAACAATTATCACCCTATATATTTTACATAAAAATATTTCATGTATTTCTAAAATATTATTAAAACTCTTTAAGAAAAAGTAAATTCCAAGGCTTATGTAATGATATTTTAATTTATGAATTTTTATATTATAAGATTTACAATATTCCAAGTTATTGTTTATTCCCTGTTTCCGTTAAAATTAAATGTCAGATCAACTCTTAAAATTCAAAACAAAATAATACTTAAAAATGTTTAATCAAAAGTTATGATTTTAACAATTACTTAGTGAAAAAAAGAAAATTAATTTAAATCAAAAATGTCCATGAATGATTACCCAATTATTATTTGTGACGGTAATAAATATTTTTTTAATTCGTGATATATTTCAGTATATGTATTGTATATAATATGCATGAGAACTTGGATGGATGAAATAGTATTTATACCGTAACAAACAATTTAATAATTTAACAGACGATAAAAGAAGATATTACCGTTTGAAATAATTCATATTTTATAATGTGTCCGATTCATTATGCAATTTATGAAATTTTAAAAAACAACGTTTAGAAAAACAGCATGATGTTTACGCTACTACTACATACATTTGTCAGAGATGTAAATTAGATAGTAATAGTGTTTGAGCTTTGTACGATGTAATGTATTTGGACGTTTGGAGCATGGCCGCAGACATAAACTTTCCGAGGACAAGAAAATATGCATCATATTTAATTATCTTTGAGTACCATTTCGTCTAATTGGCTGCGTGTTTCGAAAAAGAGAATAATTTTCGTTCGTTTCACTATCCGGGTCAGAATCATAACCATGGCATAATAAGTTGTGAAAACAACATGCTGGTAAAACAATGTTGTCAACAGATACAGGTATTGTATTTTCGTTGTCGTTTGTATCTTCTTCATTTAGCCTGAATAATGTTGGAAACATTCTCATCAAAAACACGCACCACTCGCTTCTTAGATGGTTATTTAATTATACCTATTTTATTTTATTATTATTATTATTTATTATTATTATTATTTATTTATTATTATTATTTATTATTATTACTATTTATTTATTATTATTATTTATTATTATTATTATTTATTTATAATTATTATTTATTCGTGTTATTAGCCAGTTTTTTTGTTTTGCTACCAGAACGCAATAAAGTGTAATAAAAATGTTCCTACGCATAAGATTCACCGCCTAAAATAACATACAAACATAATGTAAATTTTTACCATTTCAAATGATCTATAATTTACGTACCTACATTTGGCAGTTTTTCAGTATATCAGTGAATGGTCATCAGTTTAAAATTATTCTAGAATATAAACTTAATATTAAAATTTCTTTCACTATCCCGGCCACGTGCAGACCATATATATTTGTTATAAACCTTTGTCAAATTTAACAAAAATAATTTTTTTTTTTTTTGTAAAATATACTTTCCAGTAATTTTAACATTGGAATGTCTGAAATTATTTTAAAAATTACCACTAAGTATCTACTATTTTACTAATGTAAAATTAGATTAAGATGTAATTTTCTTTTTTATAATTTTTAATTTAAGACTTTGATTTGAAAAATAATGAAGGGTTAGTTTTATTTATGTACATATGTGCCACTAGAAATTTTGTCAGGGAGGTGCACTATACATAGCATATACGCTGATATCTAAATATCTAAATAATGCTTAAATTATTTTAGTTAAATACGTAGGAATATTTTTTCAAATTGTATGACAATACAAAATTATTTTCGTTTTTTTTTGGCGGGTACAAAGTAATAAAGGCTACTAAATAAATTATATTATATTATAGTTATTATAATATATATTATTATAATTATTTATTATACTAAATCAGATAATGATAATGACAGCCTATATTTTTAAATTTTATTCTTTTTTTTTTAATCCAGGGGGTGTAACTGTAGTCCTTTTCACCCCTCTCGTGGGCCCATGTTGATGTACAATTTTTTTTTTTTTATAAAAAAACCCAATCAATAAAATTTGGAAATTGAAAACAATGCTCTTTTGTTATGATAGTAAATCATGTTATGAAATGTTGTACATTTAGGAGAATTGAATCATTATAGTTAGATAACTGCAGTTTTGGGTTCGTTTAATTTGTCTCTTGTGTTATT